CTGGTGATGGGATGCAGTGACTCAGTGGTGGGAACTTTATGGGGACTATCACTGGGATGAGAATGCACACATTGCATAAGAATGAAAAATGATGTAAAAATACACAAAATTAAAGAGATATTATTTAAATAAAGAAGCAAATACATAAAAATTTATCTTGCTTTAAAAAAAAAGGAATTGCGTTTGGTTTCAATTCTTACCCCAAAAGTTGGGGTGAAGGACCTGGGGTCCCATGTTCCCAAAGTAGCTATTGAAATCCTCTTGATGGCTATTTGGTTCCAACCCCTCCCAGAATCCACCACATTTTAAAGCTGTTTTTAAGCGTTTGATCTAACAATGCTGTTTTTTCTGATCAAATTGGTCTTCACTCCTCACTCTGTGACTGCCTCATAAAATAGAATGCTCCAAGGAAAGCAATTAATGAAGGCTGAGGGGTGCCTGAGGTTCTCCAAGCCACAGCCACAGCACAGAGCCAGTCCTTCCAGTAAGAGCGCTCTCTCTTATGGAGGGCGTGTGCTCTACATCCTTAAATTATTCTGTGCTGGTCAATAAAAACCTCCAAATGGCCTTCTTTGCAATTACTCTTTAAAAAAAATTGTTCCATTAGATGACATTCCCATAAGCCTTGATTCAGCTGCAGCGTTTCTTTCTAACCTATTATGTTTGAGGGAGACCTGAAGCATAAGTAAGTCTCATGTAAAAAAATGCTATAATTTGCACGTCACCTCTTTTGGGTTCTTTTGTTTTCTATAAACAGCCTGAGTGTTAATCCATAGCTTCCTTTTTCTCCTCATGTACAAGTCTTTGTATTTCCCTAGGGAATATCAATATGCAATCCCACTTGACCTACAAAAAGTCTTCTTTCACTTGTGCGAGCAAATGGCCTGAAATAACTGGAATTGCTATAATAACTCATGATATCTGAGTTCATAAAGGGAACTTCCTAGGAGAGGTTATCGTGGCTAGGTTTCTTATTCAACATCTTCTCAACATTATAAGCCAAATGATTAAAATTGAGTTTTTATGTTATTCAATATTTCTGATTCTAAATTAGAGACAAGTATGACTGTATTATAGAGACCTCAACTTCTTTCCTTCCTAGTTCTGCTTGATGATTGTGCTCATTGGATCGAACCCTGATAGGAATTTATGTAAGTGATCAAAAAAAAAAAAATCCCTTTTAGTTGACAAAGCACAGGGTCTTGAAAGGCAGGCCCTTTCTTCCTGGCTTCCACCCCAATGTGAAGGTTGTCAGACAAATGTGACGGAGGCAATTTGCTTTACTCACCAGTTTATAGGTGGAGGAGATGAGGGGAGTGGAGGGGAGGCCAGGGAGAAGGAAGAGAGGGGAAGGGAGGGAAGAAGAGAGAGGAGAGATAGCAGGTTACCTCTAGAAAGGGTGGAAAGCCCCTTTGTCCTGGACCTTTCAATCAGATGAGTCACATTCTCCCATACATGAGTAATCAACAGACACAGAAGATAGAAATGTCTTTCTAACATGCCACCTGCAGCGGGAAGAGGAAGCTCTGTCACCTTTAAAATGCAAAGCCTTCTGGTTCCTTGGAAGAGAATAAAGGAGTGATTCCACTCATTTGGACCCTGCAGATTTTTCCTCTTTCTGTAGCAGACTTAGCAAAGCACAAGGCACAACCCCTTCCTCTTACTTCCCCAGCAGATTTCTGATCACTTATGCAAAAGGATGCACATAACACAAATCGCGTATGTGGTTTGTGTATGTGTGAAAAAGCCACCAAAGTGGCTTTTTCGAAGTTCATTTTCAATTTTGTTTCAATAGGATACGATTGTTTAGCCAATAAAGGGATAGCTCCTTCATGCAGCAGGAATGCATTGCTGAGGGAGTTGTTTGATGTGTTTGCAACTGTGTGATTGCCTCAGAAGGGGGAGGTTCCATGTTCCTGCACCAGCCATGGAAGGGTGGAGGGAACTGGAAAGAGAAGTGAGAGAAGACGGGAGAAGAAGGAAGGAGATCAAGAAAGAGCCCTGGAGGAGGCACAGGCACAGGAGGACATGTGTGAAGAAGCCACCCTTGCTCGTTGGCCTTAGACTAGTGCAGAGACTTGGGAGACATGGAAGGAGATGCTTGGGACAGACGTGGGTGAGAGACCCGTGGGAGGCAGACAGCGCAGCCTTGATCTTGACATGAATTTTGACTTTCCTCTTTTCCTTCCAGACTTGTCCGCCCCCTTCTGCCCCTTTCCTATGAATCCCCACCTAAAGGTGTCTTAAACAGTGACAAGCTTTTGGGCTTCAGCGGCCCTGCTTTGGGCCAACCCTGTTTGGCTGGGCATTTACCCATAAGGTGACAGGTAACTTGGGGTGTTTCATGGGTAAACTTTCTCTTCTCCTTATGCACACTAATAGTCTCTCTATTGCACACTAATTGTTTAAAAGTTATCTTCTACTGAAGGTCTTACACGATAGAGGATGTTTTGTCTTGATGGGGCGGAGTTAGAGTAGGCAGATTTGGGGGTACTGGGGTGCTCATGCTGCCCTGTAACATGATGATCCTAGAATTCTCCAGTTTAGTGTCTCCTCTGCTTCTGACTTGAGGAGGCCCTGCAGAAGAAAAATCTAGAATGGAAGAATTAACAAAGATTCAAGGGAAACATTATCTAGATGGCTTAGACCAAATCTATGAGAAATGGGATGATTGTTAACTGTGGTGGAGCTAAATAATAGGTTGGAATTCAGCCACAGGCAGAGAAGGGAGCTGGCTGCCTCCAAATGTGATTTTGAGGTTTTTGCAAAAGTATCTCTGTTCCTTCAACATCACTGATATTCTGCTACTATTCGCTGATATTCTACCAGCGATGGGAAGTGCACCATGGGGATACGGTGTGCTTAGCGTATCACTCCCCTGAAAGTGTTGCTCTTTCTGTTGCTAGTGAAGTTCTCATAGCAATCTACTTGTTATTATTCCTATTTCCGGGATGAGGAAACTAGGGCAAAGTGAAAAGTCACTTATATTTCCGAACCAAACCTTGAACCCTCAAGACTGGCCCCTTGTTCAGGCCTTTACCACCTAAAGGTCCTATTCATGGAAATCTCCTGGGGCTAGGAACTCATCTGAGAGCCACACCAAAGAGTAAATGAGGCATTCAAGTTCTTCCCAAGAGGCATGGATGTGAGATGGGAGGCCTGGGATATTTGGGGTTCACAGTCTGGCTAACTTTTAACTTCCATTCTGAGTTCTTAAAACCATATTTTATTTGGAAATGTGGGTATGTTGGGGGAGGAGGATGTCAGGAATGAAGTCCACAAAACAGGTTTGATGGACCCCACCCCACCCCAGACCAAAGAGATGGAAGTGCAACAGGGGGGTCCCCAGGAGAAGGGGAGGTTCCAGATTCCCAGCCCCACCCACAGGAGGGTGGAGCTGAGCAGGAAGGAGAAGAAAGCTAGAGAGAGGAGAGTGGGGAAGAAGGAAGCCGAAGAGAGAGCCAGAAGGAGACCTGAGGGAGGCACAGGGAGCAGACATGTGAAGAAGCAGCTCTTGTTTCTCGGCCCTGGACTGGGTGAAACAGACGTGGGTGAGAGACCCGTGGGGAGGTTCACTATGGTCGCGTTTATCTTGATTTTTATTGTGCTCTTTTCCTCCCAGACTCGCCTGGTCGTCTCTGAAGTTTTTCTCTGGGCCCCTCCAGAAGGTGATTTTAGACCTGTGGTGGGCTTTCAGGACTTGCTTTGGGCTAATCCCTTTTGGGTGGACTTTTATCTTTGAGGAGATGGGTAACTTATGGGGTCTGATTTAGAAATAGATTCTTTGTCTTTTATGTTTTGCTCAGTGATTGTATTAAAGTTCCTTTCCATTAAAGGTTTATATGTTTTGTCTTGATGCGGAGGATGGCAAAACCTATTTAGAACGGGCAGGTTTGGGGTTCGGGGTTCGGGGTGTCCTTCTCACTGCCCTGTAACAGAAGGACTACAAATCCCATAATGTCATCACCACTGAAGGGAGGATGCTGGGAACTGAGGGTGGAGTCAAGCAGCCAGGCTTAGTATAACCAGATACAGGTGGGCCTGAGCGAGTGGCTGGTTTTCCCCCATCTCTCTGCATGCTGTTGGAGGTCCAGCTCAGCGGAAATGGTAGGACGCGTTCACCAATCTTTCTTTCTCGCCGGGTTATTCTTCTCTTCATTTCCCCTTTTATATTAGCTTTTTTCTCCTGTGCACCTGCAATTGAGTCTCATTATAAGCCCCTGTAAGTGTATGAGGACTCAATCAGGCCACCCTGGTTCACACTGGGGTTGCCCTGGAAGAGTTATCGATTTTTTTTTTATTGAAGTAACATTGCATTTTACATTATGTATATTTTATGTCCATTGTAGTAGGTACACATGTTCATTTTCCATGATGCATATTAAAAACGCATTTTAATATTTAAAATAAAAAAATGAACTTAAACTTCACTGCCTTATAGAGAAAATACAATTCTTGGACACTTACTGGGACTTATTTTGTGACTGAATGCATGATCATTTTATTCTCTAATTGTTTAAACAGGGTTCCCTGTGTGTTCATTAGGTCAAGTTGTCAATTGTGCTAGTTAATTGGTTGTTATGGACAACAATATACATATGAATACCAGGAATTCGGGAGACACTTTAAGCAGCTGCTTTTGTTTGTTAGCCAGAGGAACTTGGAATCCACTTCCTCCTCTCATGCATAAAGATGAAATATTTTGATATTCTCATGGGCAGTGTGAATTTACTCCAACATATGAAAGCCTGAGTCTGGGGATGTATCTTACAAGAGAATTCTATTTGTTGTATCTAAAGTCTGCAGGGATGACTGACATATTTGGCTGGGGGGTTTTTCAGACCAAGCAAAAAATATAAGTATAAAAATATCTTAACACCACACCCTCAGGAGGGCAACTTGATGAGCTCTCGAAGATGCTGGTCTTCTCCAACTGGCACCTATGCCAGCACTATGCCCTGTGTTGGCAGGCTGGTGGCTTTTCTTAAGTCCTTGATGCATTCTGGTAATGTTTAGAAGCCTCTGTTCTAGATGCCCATCTTCAAGGTGCTCTCATTTGGCTTGTTTTGAATGTACCACCTAGGCAGACTTAGAAGTTGGTTCGCTGCTTTCAAAGCCTCTTCCTACCTCACCGCACCACACCCCACCCACCCCCTCCCCCCACTCAGAAAACCAGGTTGCAAGTAGTAAATGCAATTATCACCTTCTGTTTTCAGTCCATAGTTGGTCCTGATGGCCAGTGAGGTCCACAGTGCTGATCCCCTAGGCTGAACAGCACCTAGCTCATCGGTTGTTCCACAATTAGATGACTTTAGACTTGATTGTTGGGTCTCTGGGTGGCAGAACGCAATGAGAAGACATCAGAAGCAACACTTTCGTTCCGGACTGTGCTGACCTAGAGAGGGCGAGCAAGTTGAGCCACTGGAGGTCTCTTCTCTATGGCAAATGGGTGGGCGGCTGGATACTGTCTATATTATTTTTGTAATGACCCCGACTGACTGCGATCTTATCGGTATTGACATTGTAAGAGCCTAAGTGATGAAGCAGTGAGGCAGTTCCATAGAACCATTGAAGTTACTGTAACAGGGCGGTGCTCAGGAAAAGGGGAGGTGTCCCTCTGCTTGTCCTGTAACATGATCAACCACGTGTTTAGGAAGATTGTTTCTTGGCATGCTCATTTATCGATGGCTCCCCTTTCAGGCTTTCTTGCTTCTTTGACATGAGGGCTCTTCAGAGCACTGTTAGGCTCATCTTGCCACCGATTGCCGTCCAATGAGAAAACCACGGATGTGATTGTGGTCCTGAAGTTGTCCCTTCCCCTGATGACCTGGTCTGAGGTGCACAGCTGGAACCCAGGGAGGATAACTGCTTCTTGAAACCTTGACATCCTCCCCCCAACCCGGCCGCCTCGGTCTATCTCATTACTGTTGCGGGGTTCTGTGTGCCTAGTGGCTATGCATTGTAGCGACTTCATGTCATGCCATTTCAATTAATGGAACAGCTGACATTCTTTCTTTGGCAACTTGGGATCAATTTTAAATCAAACAGCCCATCTGGGCAGTTGAGTGTGACAGAGACCCTGGGGATGAGGTCTCTCATGGTTGTTTTATAAACACTCAGTGAATAAATAATGGTGTGGAATATTTAATTGGGGAGCTGCTAGCTGAAGCTTTGCTAACAAGTAAAAATGTGTAGTGTTTCTTCTGGGGAGATTAGGGTGAGGCTGGGTGTGGGCGGGGGGAGGGTGGTGGTGAATGAATTCACCAGAGAATGAATTCACTAGTGGAGAACTAGGCAGGTGGATTTATTGAAGTTCACTGCTAAAAGAAGCAGGGACCAGATAGGAGAGGTCTGTGTGTGAAGGCGGGTTTCAGGCTCTCTTTTGTACTGTTTTATTTTTTTTCTTGGGCTTTCTAACTTGGGGCACCAGTTTGCAGCAGTTATTTGCTAGGACTGTTGTGGGGAAGAGAATGTCCTGAATGAACCTCACACACAGGTTTTATGGACTCCATCCCCTCCCAACACCAAAGAGGACAATTTGTAGTCCAAGACACCAAGGACTACAAATCCCATAACTGCCATCACCACTGAAGGGAGGATGCTGGGAATTGAGGGTGGAGTTAAGCAACCAGGCTTGGTATTACCAGACATGTGGGCCTTGGGGGTCCTTGGGCTTTTTGCTGGCTCTCAGCATGCTAGTGGGAGTTCCAGCTCAGCAGAACTGGTAGGGAGCATTCACCAATTTATCTCTTTCTCCATGAGTCATTCCTTTCTTCATTTTACCCTTTTTGTAAATAAGCCCTTATTAACCTTTTTGTGTGTGACTGCAGTTGAGTTTCATTATAAGTCTCTTTAAGCGTGTAGGTGACCCAACCTTGTTCACACTGGGGTTGCCACTACAGTTTGGTGCCCAAGTGGTTGACCATGTGACACCTGCGGTTGACCAGCCGAAAGTAGCTTTCTTTGTATTGGCCACTTAAGCACAATTTGAAATATCGCTGGTTGTAAATTATCATGGTGTGTGTGGTTATTTCTAAAGTCTCTATTTTCAGAATTCGATCTGTTTATTTACTTCTGAATCAAACCTGTGGTTTAAAATCTCCCTAGAGTTTACTCTGGGATCTATTAAATCAAATCTCTACATGCTTTTATTGTTCCTTATCAAAAATTCCTAGCCCATTATTAGTACATTTTTCCTTTAGAAGAATTTGAGAAACTACTTACCAAGTTCCACATCTTACTTGTCATGTATCCTCTTAGAACATCTTTATACTCTGCATGTAAGTACTTTATGTTTCTCTGGGATATTTTCTAGACATTTCAGTTTCTATTACTATAATGGTTATGATTTTCTTCCACTTCATTTCTGGATCATTGCTAGGGTACCGTTAACAAGGTTAAAGGCTAAGCCCCTACTGCTACTGCTTGCCCAGTAGGCAAGTTTGGGAAGCTGGAATTGATAATAAAGTTGCCATGGGAATGGGGCCAGAAGACCAGAAAAACCAGCTCAGCTCAGGGCATTCAGAAATAGAGACTGGGGTACATTCTGTGTCAAAGGTCAACACCACACTGTCAAGGAAACAGGGGGGTAGACCAAGCTGTTAGGGCAGGCTGCTGTCAAGGCAAAACCTGGCCTTTTTATGGATTGAATAATTTGAGTCAATTACTGGGATAAGAAAACAAAGACAAAAATGTTAGAAGGAAGTGAATGTTTCCTTAGGTTACCTTGGATGTGGGGGGAGATGAGTCTGCAGAATGGGATTAGTTTTATGGCCTGTGTTTTCAAGATCAAAATCAGGCTTCCAACCCCCACTGCTGGTTCCCATCAAGACATCCACTGACCAGTTTCTGGGACACAAAGTTACATCAGTCGAAGTCCCCCCCCCCCCCCCCCCCCCCCAGGTGCTCCTGGTCGTGCCTCCTGATGGTTACCTCACGGACTTTGCGCTGCAGAGCCAGATGGCAGCTTCAGCAGCTGTTTCAGCCTAGCAGACCGGCACTAAGGCCAAAGACATCCCAGCAAATCCCAAACTGGCCCCCCTCGTTGGAAAGCTCATGAACATAGAGTATAGAAGAGCACCTCAAATCCTTCTGGCAGGCCCCTCCCAGCTCCCTTGCAGGATATTTCAATAACCGCCTTTTCTGTTCCCCACTCTGTCTCTAGTGAATTCTTTCAGCCACTTGCCTCCAGCCTCATCTGGATAGTAAACCACCACAACTCACTAACATAGTGAAGAGTAATGAACTCTGTCCTCTTTTAAAACTTTCTTCTTAGTTGTTGGAGTTTTTTTGGTTTTTTCCATTTACTTTTTCACTAGTATGCATAAAGAAGAGAGGAGAGAATATTTTTCCCAACAAATCATCTAATCTAAAGTTATCTATCCCTGTGGGTAAAAGCCCAACCAAAGAAAGGTTGTTGTCTTGAAGCTGGGCTGCTGAGACTCAAAATCTGGGAGCCATAAGGGTTGGGGGGAAAGGGGCCAAACAACTCTGGGATGAAAGAAGCAAAATCAAAGTACAGATCAAGATAGCGGCTACCACTATCAGTCTCTCCACTCTCTGTTACCCACGTGTCTTGTTCAGGTGTCTCGACATGTCTCTCTTCCATGAGTCCCCATCCATGTCTTCTCCCCACAGTACCAGTGCAAGTTGGACCGCAGTGGCTAGTGCACATCTTCCCAAGGTGACATACCCTCACCTGGCCTCCCCCAGGTGACATACCTCACCTGGCCTGCTCCAGGTGACATACCCTCACCTGGCCGAGCAACTCCACCTTTGTTCCCATCAGCTGCCCAAGGCAACTGCATGTAAATGTGCCAGGCATGGGCCCTCCCCTTAACGGAGGAGAATCTGTATCATGCTCTAATCATCCCAGAAGAAAACCCAAATCCCCAAATTGAAGAGTGAGGGCAACTGATGACCCCCTTCTTCAAAAAGAAGCCAACAGGAGACTGAGTAAACCAAAACCAAATTCACAACAATGTAAATGATCAATGCATTTAGGTATGCAAATGTTCTTTATGCCATTAATGCAACTTTTCTGTACAGTTGAAAGGACACCACAATAAAAAATTACCAAAACAAGCAAGTACAAATCACTCAAGTAG